GAGCAGCTACCGAACGTCTGACAGCGAGCAGCTACCGAACGTCTGACAGCGAGAAGCTACCGAACGTCTGACAGCGAGCAGCTCCCGACCCGACAGTGAGCAGCTACCGAACATCTGACAGTGAGCAGCTCCCGAACGTCTGACAGTGAGCAGCTACCGAACGTCTGACAGCGAGCAGCTACCGAACGTCTGACAGCGAGCAGCTACCGACCCGACAGTGAGCAGCTACCGAACATCTGACAGTGAGCAGCTCCCGACCCGACAGTGAGCAGCTACCGAACGTCTGACAGCGAGCAGCTCCCGACCTGACAGTGAGCAGCTACCGAACGTCTGACAGCGAGCAGCTCCCGAACCTGACAGTGAGAAGCTACCGAACGTCTGACAGCGAGCAGCTACCGAACGTCTGACAGCGAGCAGCTACCGAACGTCTGACAGCGAGCAGCTACCGAACGTCTGACAGTGAGAAGCTACCGAACGTCTGACAGCGAGAAGCTACCGAACGTCTGACAGCGAGAAGCTACCGAACGTCTGACAGCGAGCAGCTCCCGACCCGACAGTGAGCAGCTACCGAACGTCTGACAGTGAGCAGCTACCAAACGTCTGACAGCGAGCAGCTACCGAACGTCTGACAGCGAGCAGCTACCGAACGTCTGACAGCGAGCAGCTACCGAACGTCTGACAGCGAGCAGCTACCGAACGTCTGACAGCGAGCAGCTACCGAACGTCTGACAGCGAGCAGCTACCGAACGTCTGACAGCGAGCGGCTACCGAACGTCTGACAGCGAGCAGCTACCGAACGTCTGACAGCGAGCAGCTACCGAACGTCTGACAGCGAGCAGCTACAAACGTCTGACAGCGAGCAGCTACCGAACGTCTGACAGCGAGCGGCTACCGAACGTCTGACAGCGAGGCTACCGAACGTCTGACAGCGAGCGGCTACCGAACGTCTGACAGCGAGAGCAGCTACCGAACGTCTGACAGCGAGAGGCTACCGAACGTCTGACAGCGAGCAGCTACCGAACGTCTGACAGCGAGCAGCTACCGAATGTCTGACAGCGAGCAGCTACCGAACGTCTGACAGTGAGCAGCTACCGAACGTCTGACAGCGAGCAGCTCCCGACCCGACAGTGAGCAGGTACCGAACGTCCGACAGCGAGCAGCTCCCGACCCGACAGTGAGCAGCTACCGAACGTCTGACAGCGAGCAGCTCCCGACCCGACAGTGAGCAGGTACCGAACGTCCAACAGCGAGCAGCTCCCGACCCGACAGTGAGCAGCTACCGAATGTCTGACAGTGAGCAGCTACCGAACGTCTGACAGCGAGCAGGCTACCGAACGTCTGACAGCGAGAAGCTACCGAACGTCTGACAGCGAGCAGCTCCCGAATGTCTGACAGTGAGCAGCTACCAAACGTCTGACAGTGAGCAGCTACCGAACGTCTGACAGCGAGCAGCTCCCGACCCGACCCGACAGTGAGCAGGTACCGAACGTCTGACAGCGAGCAGCTCCCGACCCGACAGTGAGCAGCTACCGAATGTCTGACAGTGAGCAGCTACCGAACCTCTGACAGCGAGAAGCTACCGAACGTCTGACAGTGAGCAGTTACCGAACGTCTGACAGTGAGCAGCTACCGAACGTCTGACAGTGAGCAGCTCCCGACGTCTGACAGTGAGCAGCTACCGAACGTCTGACAGTGAGCAGCTCCCGACCCGACAGTGAGCAGCTACCAAACATCTGACAGTGAGCAGCTACCGAACGTTTGACAGCGAGCAGCTACCGAACGTCTGACAGCGAGCAGCTACCGAACGTTTGACAGCGAGCAGCTACCGAACGTTTGACAGCGAGCAGCTACCGAACATCTGACAGCGAGCAGCTACCGAACGTCTGGCAGCGAGCAGCTACCGAACGTCTGGCAGCGAGCAGCTACCGAACATCTGACAGCGGGCAGCTAGCGAACGTCTGACAGCGAGCAGCTACCGAACGTCTGACGGCGGAGCAGCTACCGACCCGACAGTGAACAGGCCCTCTGCTGCTACTGCCAACCACACGGAACAAGACGGGCGCTCACATCGACCAATCAGCTGTAATCTAATCGGCATTGGGTTGTGAAAAGATCAAATCTGATTGGCTGCTGCAGGTATAGATACTCAGGGGCCCCTAAGATTCCTGGTCTCTCTGCAGGCTGGAAATATTCTAGTATTTGGGATGATTCCTCAGTATGGACAACACAACGAATCCGGCCTGACTCTTCATCATAGAGGATGTGTGCACAAATGTCTGACACAGATCAGCCCCCTGCTGCAGCCTCTCACCCTGTGATTTACTACAAAGTTACAATGTACAGTCTGATCTCCGGGCTCCTCCTACAAAGTTATAATGTACAGTCTGATCTCCGGGCTCCTCCTACAAAGTTACAATGTACAGTCTGATCTCTGGGCTCCTCCTACAAAGTTACAATGTACAGTCTGATCTCTGGGCTCCTCCTACAAAGTTACAATGTACAGTCTGATCTCAGGGCTCCCTCTACAAAGTTACAATGTACAGTCTGATCTCTGGGCTCCTTCTACAAAGTTACAATGTACAGTCTGATCTCTGGGGTCCTCCTACAAAGTTACAATGTACAGTCTGATCTCCGGGCTCCTCCTACAAAGTTACAATGTACAGTCTGATCTCCGGGCTCCTCCTACAAAGTTACAATGTACAGTCTGATCTCTGGGCTCCTCCTACAAAGTTACAATGTACAGTCTGATCTCTGGGCTCCTCCTACAAAGTTACAATGTACAGTCTGATCTCCGGGCTCCTCCTACAAAGTTACAATGTGCAGTCTGATCTCCGGGCTTCCTCTACAAAGTTACAATGTACAGTCTGATCTCCGGGCTCCTCCTACAAAGTTACAATGTACAGTCTGATCTCCGGGCTCCTCCTACAAAGTTACAATGTACAGTCTGATCTCTGGGCTCCTCCTACAAAGTTACAATGTACAGTCTGATCTCGGGCTCCTCCTACAAGTTACAATGTACAGTCTGATCTCCGGGCTCCTCCTACAAAGTTACAATGTACAGTCTGATCTCCGGGCTCCTCCTACAAAGTTACAATGTACAGTCTGATCTCTGGGCTCCTCCTACAAAGTTACAATGTACAGTCTGATCTCGGGCTCCTCCTACAAAGTTACAATGTACAGTCTGATCTCTGGGCTCCTCCTACAAAGTTACAATGTACAGTCTGATCTCTGGGCTCCTCCTACAAAGTTACAATGTACAGTCTGATCTCCGGGCTCCTCCTACAAAGTTACAATGTACAGTCTGATCTCCGGGCTCCTCCTACAAAGTTACAATGTACAGTCTGATCTCTGGGCTCCTCCTACAAAGTTACAATGTACAGTCTGATCTCTGGGCTCCTTCTACAATGTTACAATGTACAGTCTGATCTCCGGGCTCCTTCTACAATGTTACAATGTACAGTCTGATCTCTGGGGTCCTCCTACTGTTACAATGTACAGTCTGATCTCTGGGCTCCTCCTACAAAGTTACAATGTACAGTCTGATTTCCAGGCTCCCTCTACAAAGTTACAATGTACAGTCTGATCTCCGGCTCCTCCTACAATGTTACAATGTGCAGTCTGATCTCGGGCTCCTCCTACAAAGTTACAATGTACAGTCTGATCTCCGGGCTCCTTCTACAATGTTACAATGTACAGTCTGATCTCCGGGCTCCTTCTACAATGTTACAATGTACAGTCTGATCTCTGGGGTCCTCCTACAAAGTTACAATGTACAGTCTGATCTCTGGGCTCCTCCTACAAAGTTACAATGTACGGTCTGATCTCCAGGCTCCTCCTACAAAGGGCGTAGGGACTTTTCTAGGGGAGGTTTTCTAGGAGTAGTGATTTGGGGGGATTTTGGGGGTTGGTGCTATGGGGGGGGGGGATTTGTGCTAGGAGGGAAAGGTGTGTGGATGTGTAGATGGGGGAATTGGATGGTTTTCCCGCTCAGCCAGCTGGGGAAGGTGTGTGGGGGCCGCGCTCCTACATGGGACTCTATGGGGGAACAGCAATACTTCAGTCAGGTGACAACCCCGGAGCGGACTATTGGAGCTGAACTCCAGACAGGAATAGAGAACACAAATGAATTCAGCTCTGGGGTCACTATATCATCATTCAATGTTTTCTATTTTAATGCAAGCAGTACCTGAACTTGACCTGGTATCAACCTCCTGCGGTCCCTGTACAGCAGAGCACAGACTGGGGGGTAAAAAGGCAGCAAAAGCCCCCAATCACCTGTGTTTCAGGGCTCACAAAGAGCATGCTGAGAGGAGGATAGAGCAGAGTGACAGAGATGAGCTCATTGGTATTCTTCACTGACCAATCCCAGGTTGGGGGCTCGTCCGGGATGGCACAGGCTCAGTGGGCGGAATAAGCAGCATGCTGATAGGAGGAAGAGCAGAGAAAGATAGTGATAGAGATGAACTCCTCAGTACACTGCTTATCCTTTCACTGTCCAATCACAGGCTCAGGCAAGGACAAGCAGGGTTTACAAAGAGCATGCTGAGAGGAGGATAGAGCAGAGTGACAGAGATGAGCTCATTGGTATTCTTCACTGACCAATCCCAGGTTGGGGGCTCGTCCGGGATGGCACAGGCTCAGTGGGCGGAATAAGCAGCATGCTGATAGGAGGAAGAGCAGAGAAAGATAGTGATAGAGATGAACTCCTCAGTACACTGCTTATCCTTTCACTGTCCAATCACAGGCTCAGGCAAGGACAAGCAGGGTTTACAAAGAGCATGCTGAGAGGAGGATAGAGCAGAGTGACAAAGATGAGCTCATTGGTATTCTTCACTGACCAATCACAGGCTTGGGGAGGGAGAAGACCTGTAAATATTACAGTAGAGAACAGTCCTCCTGCCAGACAGGGCCATGCTGTGTAGCAGAGCAGTGTGACATCAGAACTGGATGGACAGGTAAAACCTCTCCCCTGTATGTATTTGGCGGTGGTCAGCGCTCACCTTCTGCTCCGCTTCCCTCCTCTGCTGGTCTCTCTGTTTGATGTTCAGGAACTGGAACTTCAGCAGTTTGGCGATGAGGGGAAGAGGTAAGTTCTCTCCGCTGTCCAGGAGGGACTTTGCTGCTTCTGTGACCTGCGGGGTACAGATACAATGACGTCATTACGTACCAGATACTAAAAGAAGACCACCGGACTCCATACTAAGGGTGCTGATGTGGGAGGGGCCACCATTTCAGCGTCATTCAGGGTCAGGGTACTAATCCCCGCAATTCGCCTGATAGGTTTATTTCCTGTGACTGACAACGCCATCTAGTGGCCATAATGAGGCATCAACATAATTCACATTTCCTATGACCTTCAGCTCCATCTAGTGGTCATGATGAGGCATCAACATAATTCACATTTCCTATGATCGTCAGCTCCATCTAGTGGTCATGATGAGGCATCAACGTAATTCACATTTCCTATGATCGTCAGCTCCATCTAGTGGTCATGATGAGGCATCAACGTAATTCACATTTCCTATGACCGTCAGCTCCATCTAGTGGTCATGATGAGGCACCAACGTAATTCACATTTCCTATGATCGTCAGCTCCATCTAGTGGTCATAATGCGGTATTGTCCTAAAATATCTGAATCAGGAGAATACTGCATTATGGCCACTAGATGGAGGTGATGATCATAGGAAAGAAATCTCTGGTGATGGCAGAGAGATACTGTTACCAGCCCATGCAGGGGAACCAGACAATACATCTGGATAGCCCACCCCCTGCAGGGTGTACATTCCCATCTGTGCTCCTCGGCTGCCTCCTCAGTCCATGGAAGCCTTCTGGGTAAGCAGGAGCATGTGATCGCCCCCATGTGCCAGTGCTTGGATGTGGGTGGTCAGTCCCCAGGGCTGAACACGGTAATCTGGAGGTGGGGCCATTGACATCATCCACTTGGGTAAGTCCTGACACCATTTTTGTGGGTAATTCCTGACACCATATTGTCCTGACACCATGTTACAGATAAGTCCTGACACCATATTTTGTCCTGACACCATATTCTGGGTAAGTCCTGACACCATGTTGTCCTGATACCATGTGTTACAGATAAGTCCTGACACCACGTTACAGGTAAGATAAGCCCTGACACCATGTTACAGATAAGCCCTGACACCATGTAACAGGTAAGTCCTGACACCATGGTAAGCCCTGACATGTTGTTGAGCCCTGACACCATGGGTAGGTCCTGAACATGTTACAGGTAAGTCCTGACACCATGTTGTGGGTAAGTCCTGACACCATGTTGTGGGTAGGTCCTGACACCATGTTTAGGGTAAGTCCTGACACCATATGTACAGGTAAGTCCTGACACCATGTTGTGGGTAAGTCCTGACACCATGTTTGTGGGTAGGTCCTGACACCATATTACAGGTAAGTCCTGACACCATGTTGTGGGTAAGTCCTGACACCATGTTTACGGGTAAGTCCTGACACCATGTTACAGGTAAGTCCTGACATCATGTTACGGGTAAGTCCTGACACCATGTTACAGGTAAGTCCTGACACCATGTTGTGGGTAAGTCCTGACACCATGTTGTGGGTAAGTCCTGACACCATGTTACAGGTAAGTCCTGACACCATGTTACAGGTAAGTCCTGACACCATGTTATGGGTAAGTCCTGACACCATGGTGTGAAGGAAGTGTGGATTGGTGAGTATATCTTGCTAGGCTGAGGGGGGGATGGGGGGGTTCATGGTCACTTGGCTGTGCAGGTGACAGGGTCTCTTCATGTGAACACACAATGGTTTTGGGTCGTTATTATATTTTTGTATCATTTTCTACATTTGAATGTTTTGTTTCTTCTGTTCTCTGTGTCATCATTCTGCCTCCGCCCACCGATTCTGCCTCCGCCCACCGATCTCTGCCTCCGCCCACCGATCTCTGCTCTGCCCACCGATCTCGCCCACCGATTCTGCCTCCGCCCACCGATCTCTGCCTCCGCCCACGATCTCTGCCCCACCGATCCGCCTCCCCCCACCGATCTCTGCTTCCCCCCACCAATCTCTGCTTCCGCCCACCGATTCTGCCTCCGCCCACCGATCTCTGCCTCCGCTTCCCCCCACCGATCTCTGCCTCCGCCCACCGATCTCTGCCTCCGCCCACCGATCTCTGCCTCCGCCCACCGATCTCTGCGCACATTCCTGGTGGAAGGAGAAAGTCATGAACAGAGCAGACGGCTCCCCCTGCTGGCGGCATAAAAGTCTGCAGAACGTTCACCTACAATATTTCACATTCATTTCCAGACAGGAAGTGAGAGGAAATCTCCTCCTTGGGGACACATACTCCAACAAAGGGGTAAGAACAGAGAGCTCCAGCCGGGTAGATAATCTCCCAATCGAATTTATGATCCCAAATACAGGCGACGCGTTTCAGATGAATTCCCCTTCATCAGAGAGTCTGGGACTGGTCTATGTCTCTTCCAATCGCGGAGACTCAGCATCAAATGTGGGTGTTACTATGCAAAGTACATCTTGCCTTGAACCCCCCCCCCCCCCCCCCCCCCCCGACTGATACCCACCCCTCAAGTCATTTTGATATTTGCGTAACTCCTCCCAAAAGCCAGCCCACTGCTTCCATGAGGGCTGAGGGCTCTTGAGATGAGTACTGAGGCAGGGTGCTGTGAAGACCCTGCTAGCCCCTTCCACCAGACATGATCTCCTTGCATCGCATAGAGAAGCACAGAGATTCAGTGATGACATCACCGAGTTTTATTTTTTATGTTGACGGGGGGAACCCAGGGAAGAGAAAAACAACGCTCGGTATAAATGACTCCACCCCTTTTGAAAAGTAAGATTTGAATCGATATCTCCATGAACACAAAATCGATTTCCATCGGAGTTTTATCGAACGTTTGTTCGGCTCATTACCTGGAAGGAAGGTTCATAATAGAACTTCAATGACAAAATCTTCCGGTTTATTCCAATGAGTTGATGCAAAAATGAATCCCCCCCACAAGAACCCCTCCATCTAGTATTCTATAGGACCTCCATGATTGGTAAGGACGGCGCCGAGTCTTCTAGGTGTGGAATGAACGAGTTGGCGACATATTGTGACATCGATCTTTTTTCCACTCTTCAAGAACGATCTCTTTTAGAACCTGAATGCTGGATGGAGAGCGATGCTCAGCTTGTCTCTTCAGAATTCCCCGTAGGGGTTGGATTGGGTTCGGATCAGGAGACATATTTGGCCCCGGAATCCCTTCCCCCGGTTCTTCTTCAGAAATGCATCAGTGGCCTTCGATGTGTATTTTGGACACCAGCAGCCCCACAGAAGGACACTGCCACCACCATGTCTCACAGTAGGCACCGTGCATTTTTCTTTGTACTCCTTACCTTTGTGACACCATACAGTTTTGAAGCCATCAGTTCCAAAAACATTTATCTCCGTCTCATCACTCCAGAGTCCCAGTAGTCTTCTTATTTTCCAGCATGGGTCCCTGGCAGATTCTAGGCAGGATTTTTTGTGCACGGGCTTTAGGAGAGGCTTCCTTCATGGACGACACCCATGCATGTCATTCCTCTGCCGTGCACACCAGATTGTGTCATGGAAAACAATCAGCCCAGTTTGGCTTTCTACTTCTTTAGCTTACTGCAGTGAACTTGCGATTTTCTTCAACCCTTCTCATCAGAAGACGCTCCTGTCGAGTTGTCAACTTCTGTGGATGGCCTGGACGTCTCTGTGAGATGGTTGCAGTTACATTTTTTATGCTCCAGTATTCTGACTGATAAGTAAAGCTTTGCTGATCTTCTTGTAGCCTTCACCTTTCTTGTGTAAAGAAATGATTTTCTTTCTCAGGCCTTGTGACATTTTTCTTCCATGTGGTGCCATTGCTGACATAATGAAATGGGCGGGGGGTTTTCTTTGTTAGGTAACGCCCGTTTTATGTTCACCTGTCTGCTTTTATGTTACAAACAAAATTTAACGGGGGCTCTAACCCACTATTGCCCTATTCAAAGTAGAAGAAAGCTCTGGAGCAGTAATAGGAGCAAAGATGGAGTCTTGCCATCAATATGGTGGCCCAGGCCAGTGGGCATTCCCCTTTCTTGGGGTTCGGGCAGTAATAGGAGCAAAGATGGAATCTTGCCATCAATATGGTGGCCCAGGCCAGTGGGCATTGCCCTTTTTTGGGGTGCAGGGCAATAATAGGAGCAGGAAAGGAGTCTTGCTATCAATATTATGGTGGTCCAGGCCAGTGGGCATTCCCCTTTCTTGGAGAGCAGGGCAGTAATAGGAGCAGGGAAGGAATCTCGCCATCAATATGGTGGCCCAGGCCAGTGGGCATTGCCCTTTTTTGGGGTGCAGGGCAATAATAGGAGCAAAGATGGAGTCTTGCCAGCAATATAGCAGCCCAGATCAGTGGGAGTTCCCCTTTCTTGGGGAGCAGGGCAGTAGTAGGAGCAGGGAAGGAGTCTTGCCATCAATATGGTGGCTAGGCTAGTGGGCATTCCCCTTTCTTGGGGAGCAGGGCAGTAACAGGAGCAAAGATGGAGTCTCACCATCAATATGGCGGCCCAGGCCAGCGGGCATTCCCCTTTCTTGGGGTACAGGACAGTAATAGGAGCAAGGATGGAGTCTCACCATCAATATAGCGGCCCAGGCCAGCGGGCATTCCCCTTTCTTGGGGTGCAGGGCAGTAATAGGAGCAAGGATGGAGTCTCGCCATCAATATGGTGGCCCAGGCAAGTGGGCATTCCCTTTCTTGGGGTTCAGGCATTAATAGGAGCAAAGATGGAGTCTTGCCAGCAATATAGCAGCCCAAGCCAGTGGGAATTTCCCTTTCTTGGGGTGCAGGGCAGTAATAGGAACAAAGATGGAGTCTCACCAGCAATATGGCAGGCCAACCCAGTGGGCATTCCCCCCTTTCTTGGGGTTCAGGGCAGTAACAGGAGCAAAGATGGAGTCTCACCATCAATATGGCGGCCCAGGCCAGTGGGCATTCCCTTTTCTTGGGGTACAGGGCAGTAATAGGAGCAAGGATGGAGTCTCACCATCAATATAGCGGCCCAGGCCAGCGGGCATTCCCCTTTCTTGGGGTTCAGGCATTAATAGGAGCAAAGATGGAGTCTTGCCAGCAATATAGCAGCCCGAGCCAGTGGGAATTTCCCTTTCTTGGGGTTCAGGGCAGTAATAGGAGCAAAGATGGAGTCTCACCAGCAATATGGCAGGCCAACCCAGTGGGCATTCCCTTTCTTGGGGTTCAGGGCAGTAATAGGAACAAAGATGGAGTCTCACCAGCAATATGGCAGGCCAACCCAGTGGGCATTCCCCTTTCTTGGGGTTCAGGGCAGTAATAGGAGCAAAGATGGAGTCTTGCCAGCAATATGGCAGTCCAGTGGGCATTCCCCTTTCTTGGGGTTCAGGGCAATAATACGTGGAAGGAAGGAGTCTCGCCAGCAATATGGTGGCCCAGGCCAGAGGGGGGCCCCTGTCCTCCGCCATAAAGGGGGCCCAATTAAGCTTCCCAAAGGCAGAGCAGCCTGGCCGGGGTCCGCGCTCCAACTCCTAATTGGGGTGAAATCAGGGTATTGAGTTTCCTGCGAGTGACGACAGCTGCCTCTCCAGATGTGTGGCACGGAACCGGCCCTCCAAATATTTCACTTTTTTTTTACAGCTGAGGTTTTACTTTTTTCTTTCTTTTTTTTTTTTTTTTTTTTTTTTACAGCTTGTTTCCACCAAATTTCATACAACTTGCTAACATCTGGCTCCTTCTCCGCAGAGTCCTGTATTCACTTTATTTACTGTGAAATGAATAAAATAATAAAAAAAAAAAGACCCATAAAACTTGCTTATGGCTGCGTTTGCCACGGGCGCTGGGAAGGGGGGGTCTCTCCTCCAGGGGGGGCCGCTAAGAAGCCCAGAAAAACGTTCTCTAATCTCATCCTAAGACCCGCCGACCTTTGTTGCTGTTTTATATTCTTGGACCGAGTTTGGGGTTTATTTATAAACGAAGGAAAAATGAGGTGATGTGAATATTCTGACAGCCCCCCCCCCCCCCCCAGTTCCCCTTCTCCCCCCCCCCCCCCCCCCCCCATTCCCCCTACTCCCTCTCCAGCCCCATCTTCCCATCCTTGTAGCAATTAGACCCGGGCCGCATGTGGTGTCAATTTCTGGAGAGACGGAGGCTGCGCGGTGCGTCCGAGGTCTGCAGCTGCCAGGGGTCGGCGGTATAATCGACCATTTATGTATTAGCGCGGTTGCCAAACTGCAATCACGCTTGTTTTTCGACGCTTCCAGGTGACTTTAGACACGTCCGAGCGAACAGCTGGCGGTACGGCGGCCATATGGGTAACGGAGGCTCGCTCTGGAATGTTACGCTAATGGTGGAAACCGAAGCGAACGGCGCAGATTATGAATCCGGGGGGGGGGGGGACATATGTTAATATGGCAAGGAGTAGACATAAAAAAAAACATTAAAAGTCAATCTAAATCCAACGCTTTTTTTTTTTATTCCAGATAGAGAGAGTGGAATAATAGAATGGCTAAAACTCTTTTTTTTTTTTTTTTACTGTGTCTCCCATTAGGGAGACTTTCCATAACTTCCTGTCTTGTAGACAAAGCAGGAAGTGAGCAAAAAGAACTACTGGTAGTGGCACGTAAAACATGGCGGCGCGGGTCTGAGCCCTTCCAGGAGAGAAGAGGATCTCAGCTGGACGATGCTGGATCCGCTTGGTGGGCGAGTAGATGAAATGTGCTGAATACCACCAGGTAGGTGGTTGTTTAAAAAAAAAAAAAAAAAACGGGGGTGGGGCCCCTGAGAGCCCAGTGGAAGATCCTACCGAGGGCCGGACTTTAATTCCTGGTGCAGAATTGCCCAATTTTGGTTTGCCAAGAAGGAGCCGCGGTGACCCAGTGGCCAGAACGGCGGAAGTGTCTATATCAGAACCATGGAGTAAAACGGTCAATTTTTCGGCTTTAGTCCTATCAAGCCCGGTGAGCTCGGATGGCAGGATGGCAAATCGAAAAGACATTGGCTGGAGTGCGATTCACAGCCATCAATGCTCCAGCACTACAACTCCAAAGGATCCCATAATTCCCCCGAGCCCAAGCACTGCGCATGGAGGGGAGAGCGGCACATGGAGGGGAGGGCGGCACATGGAGGGGAGGGCGGCACATAGAGGGGAGGGTGGCACATGGAGGGGAGGGCGGCACATGGAGGGGAGGGTGGCACATGGAGGGGAGGGTGGCACATGGAGGGGACGGCAGGGTGGCACATGGAGGGGGAGGGTGGCACATAGAGGGGAGGGGGCACATGGAGGGGAGGGCGGCACATGGAGGGGAGGGCGGCACATGGAGGGGAGGACGGCACATGGAGGGGAGGGTGGCACATGGAGGGGAGGGCGGCACATGGAGAGGGAGGGCACATGGAGGGGAGGGCAGCACATGGAGGGCGGGGGAGGGTGGCACATGGAGGGAGGGATGGCACATGGAGGGGAGGGTGGCACATGGAGGGAGGGACGGCACATGGAGGGGGACGGCACATGGAGGGGAGGGCGGCACATGGAGGGGAGGACGGCACATGGAGGGGGGAGGGCGGCACATGGAGGGGAGGCACATGGAGGGGAGGGTGGCATGGACACATGGAGGGGAGGACGGCACATGGAGGGGAGGGAGGGGAGGGCGGCACATAGAGGGGAGCACATGGAGGGGAGGACGGCACGGCACAAACTTCACAAACAAGAAACAATTTGCTCACAAATGTGTTTTCAATTTTCCGCTTTGTTTTTTTTTTTTTTGAGCAACCAGCAGAAGGACAATTTGTCTCCACAAACAGTTTTCATCCCTCCGCCAGAAAATCATTTCTTTGTAGACTGTAATGGAGTAAACTGTCAATCCAGCAGAACGCAGGTCACAGACTAGATCATAACTGCCATTTTCCCATACTGGATATTATCCGACACATTATTATTATTATTATTATACAGTATTTATAAAGTGCCGATAGTTCGCTCAGCGCTGTACATTACAAGGGGGACAGAACATGTGACAGAACAATACCAATACAATGCAAAACATGAGGGGATCGAGGGCCCTGCTCCTTGGAGCTTACAATCTAGGAGGGAGGGGGGGTTGGTGGTACAGGAGGAGATAGCTGTGGGGGATGGGGTGGTAGGAAGAGTGGAGGAGGTCGGCAAGTTAGCAGGGGGTGGGGTAGGCTTCCCTGAAGAGGTGGGTTTTCAGGGTGCGCCTAAAGGTGAGTAGAGCAGGTGATAGTCTGATGGACCAGGGTAGTGAGTTCCAGAGGATGGGTGACACCCTGGAGAAGTCCTAGAGGTGGGCATGGGAGGAGGAGACCAGGGAACTAGAGAGAAGGAGGTCTTGTGAGGAGCGGAGTGTGCGTGTTGGGCGGTACTTGGATATTAGGTCAGTGATGTAGTTCGGGGCAGTATGGTGGACGGCTTTGTACGTCAGTGTTAGGATTTTGAATTTGATCCATTGCGCAATCGGAAGCCAGTGGAGGGATTGGCAGAGGGGGTGGAGGACACTGAGTGGAGGCCAGTGGAGGGATTGGCAGAGGGGGGTGGAGGACACTGAGTGGAGGCCAGTGGAGGGATTGGCAGAGGGGGGTGGAGGACACTGAGTGGAGGCCAGTGGAGGGATTGGCAGAGGGGGGGTGGAGGACACTGAGTGGAGGCCAGTGGAGGGATTGGCAGAGGGGGGTGGAGGACACTGAGTGGAGGCCAGTGGAGGGATTGGCAGAGGGGGGTGGAGGACACTGAGTGGAGGCCAGTGGAGGGATTGGCAGAGGGGGGTGGAGGACACTGAGTGGAGGCCAGTGGAGGGATTGGCAGAGGGGGGTGGAGGACACTGAGTGGAGGCCAGTGGAGGGATTGGCAGAGGGGGGTGGAGGACACTGAGTGGAGGCCAGTGGAGGGATTGGCAGAGGGGGGTGGAGGACACTGAGTGGAGGCCAGTGGAGGGATTGGCAGAGAGGGGGTGGAGGACACTGAGTGGAGGCCAGTGGAGGGATTGGCAGAGGGGGTGGAGGACACTGAGTGGAGGTCAGTGGAGGGATTGGCAGAGAGGGGTGGAGGACACTGAGTGGAGGACCAGTGGAGGGATTGGCAGAGAGGGGTGGAGGACACTGAGTGGAGGACACTGAGTGGAGGGATTGGCAGAGGGGGGTGGAGGACACTGAATGGAGGCCAGTGGAGGGATTGGCAGAGGGGGGTGGAGGACACTGAGTGGAGGACACTGAGTGGAGGATTGGCAGAGGGGGGTGGAGGACACTGAATGGAGGTGCCAGTCTGGAGGGTATTGGATGGACTGAGGGGGGTGGCGGAGATGAGGAGCGGTTGGAAAGGTGAATGAGTCTGGCAGCCGTACCTGAGATTATCAGGATGGATGAAGCGGGCACCTCCTCCTAGCCTGTGATTATCCCACCTGCAGTGAGGACCTGGGATTATCCCAGTACCTGCACCTCCTCCGTGATACCTGAGATTATCACATGTACCTACCTCCTTATACCTGAGATTATCCCATACCTGCACCTCCTCCTATACCTGAGATTATCCCATACCTGCACCTCCTCCTATACCTGAGATTATCCCATACCTGTTGCTATGCCTGGGATGGTTCTCTACCTCCTCCCATGTTTGCTGCTACGGCTGCGATAGTTTGTTGAGGAAATACCGCCACATCCGCGATCAGAGAAGAAGCGGGAAATAAGACGGCCATGTTGGAGTAAATTGTGTTGAAGTGAAAAAATCTGTCCGAGACGAAATTCTGTCCAAGGCAATTCTGCAAAAGATTCCGACACACCTCACTGACAGCCAAACCAATCTGTGGCAAATCGCGCCATTTGTCAATCGGACAGAATACAGATCCGGCGTCTTCGCCACATTTTCTGAATCCCCGGAATCTAAGGAATTCAGTACTAATACTGTGATGGGTTTTTGTATCTTTGTTATATCTTGTAGGTGACAGAACACTTCATTCTACAAATACACAAAGCTGTAAAGCTGGAGGAATGAACTTCCATATACAAAAGGACAATTTAAAGTATATTTTATATATATAAAAAATATCCGAGAGCTATTCGTCCTGTAAGACCGCATGTACATTCGTTTTGTGAATGGCGGCAAAGTCGCATGTTACTAGGATATTTACTTTACATATCAAATATTATTTATTTCATACAGAATAGAGTGACTCAGGAATACACTGGATATAGGTAATGCTCATAGGAAATCAATACTTATTTCCTATGATCATCAGCTCCATCTAGTGGCCAGAAAGCTGTATTTTCCAATAACTCTCTATTTTATATTACAAAATAACATTTGACACCTCCTAGTGATGGTATCCTGGTCTGACTGTGTGCAACATTGTATCACACTCAGTGCTATGGTAACATTGTATCACACTCTGTGCTATGGTAACATTGTATCACACATTGTATCACACTCTGTGCTATGGTAACATTGTATCACACTCTATACTATGGTAACATTGTATCACACTCTGTGCTATGGTAACATTGTATCTTTGGTGGAGACAGATCACAATGTAACGGCTAGCTTTACATTATACACATAATTGCCGGGTGTCATTATCTGCCCTCATTCTGTATGTATGGACTCTGCACAGTATCCCACTTCTCCTGTCCTGGATGCCGGGTGTCATTCTTGGTATCTGTCCCCATTCTGTATTGTATGGACTCTGCACAGTCCCACTTCTCCTGTATCCTGGATGCCGGGTATGGTAACATTCTCGGTATTTGTCCCCATTCTGTATGTATGGACTCTGCACAGTCCCACTTCTCCTGTCCGGATGCCGGGGTCATTCTCGGTATCTGTCCTCATTCTGTATGTATGGACTCTGCACAGTCCCACTTTCCCTGTCCTGGATGCCGGGTGTCATTCTTGGTATCTGTCCCCATTCTGTATGTATGGACTCTGCACAGTCCCACTTCTCCTGTCCTGGATGCCGGGTGTCATTCTCGGTATCTGTCCCCATTCTGTATGTATGGACTCTGCACAGTCCCACTTCTCCTGTCCTGGATGCCGGGTGTCATTCTCGGTATCTGTCCCCCATTCTGTATGTATGGACTCTGCACAGTCCCACACTTCTCCTGTCCTGGATGCCGGGGTGTCATTCTTGGTATCTGTCCCCATTCTGTATGTATGGACTCTGCACAGTCCCACTTCTCCTGTCCGGATGCCGGGTGTCATTCTCGGTATCTGTCCTCATTCTGTATGTATGGACTCTGCACAGTCCCACTTCTCCTGTCCTGGATGCCGGGTGTCATTCTCGGTATCTGTCCCCATTCTGTATGTATGGACTCTGCACAGTCCCACTTCTCCTGTCCCGGATGCCGGGTGTCATTCTCGGTATCTGTCCCCATTCTGTATGTATGGACTCTGCACAGTCCCACTTCTCCTGTCCGGATGCCGGGTGTCATTCTGGTATCTGTCCCCATTCTGTATGTATGGACTCTGCACAGTCCCACTTCTCCTGTCCCGGATGCCGGGGTGTCATTCTCGGTATCTGTCCCCATTCTGTATGTATGGACTCTGCACAGTCCCACTTCTCCTGTCCCGGATGCCGGGTGTCATTTCTGGTATATCTGTCCCCATTCTGTATGTATGGACTCTGCACAGTCCCACTTCTCCTGTCCCGGATGCCGGGTGTCATTCTCGGTATCTGTCCCCATTCTGTATGTATGGACTCTGCACAGTCCCACTTCTCCTGTCCCGGATGCCGGGTGTCATTCTCGGTATCTGTCCCCATTCTGTATGTATGGACTCTGCACAGTCCCACTTCTCCTGTCCCGGATGCCGGGTATCATTCTCGGTATTTGTCCCCATTCTGTATGTATGGACTCTGCACAGTCCCACTTCTCCTGTCCCGGATGCCGGGTGTCATTCTCGTATCTGTCCCCATTCTGTATGTATGGACTGTGCACAGTCCCACTTCTCCTGTCCCGGATGGATGGGGTGTCATTCTCGGTATCTGTCCTCATTCTGTATGTATGGACTCTGCACAGTCCCACTTCTCCTGTCCCGGATGCCGGGTGTCATTCTCGGTATCTGTCCCCATTCTGTATGTATGGACTGTGCACAGTACTACTACACTGTAGTTCTCGGTATAGACAGATAAGGACAGACATCTTGCTCTGAGCTCCGTGTGTGTGTTCTCGCTGGTAATAATCATATCATCCATCAGATGTGTAATTTTGGCCTGTGTACAGTTCCCATCCTCCAGAGCCCCGGGCCCCCCTGACTTCGGGCCCCCTGATGGGAACATATGCTGCTGCTGCCTTCTAGCGAGGCCTGAAAGAAATTCTGCAATGTCTTCCATATGAGCAGGATTAGACGCGCCATGGAGGGGCGGTAAAGATACAAGATCCTGAGTTCTCCAACACTTCATACCGGAGCAGGGTCACTGGAGGAACCTATTCCAGGTATTCCCAACCCATCTCCATCCATGGAGGACATCTCCAGCCACCTCCAACCACAACCACACCGATCCCAGGAATTGTCCTACAGAGTGGGCTTCCTGTGTGCCAACTTCCACCAGAATCCCACCGGACTGAATAGACACAAGATTGCCAAAAGTATTGGGCCGCCGGCCTTCCCACGCACATGACCTTTAATGGCCCCCCAGTCTTAGTCCGTAGGGTTCAATATTGAGTTGGCCCCGCCCTTTCCACACACATGACCTTTAATGGCCCCCAGTCTTAGTCCGTAGGGTTCAATATTGAGTTGGCCCCGCCCTTCCCACGCACATGACCTTTAATGCCCCCCCAGTCTGAGTCCCTAGGGTTCAATATTGAGTTGGCCCCGCCCTTTCCACACACATGACCTTTAATGGCCCCCAGTCTTAGTCCGTAGGGTTCAATATTGAGTTGGCCCCGCCCTTCCCACGCACATGACCTTTAATGCCCCCCCAGTCTGAGTCCCTAGGGTTCAATATTGAGTTGGCCCCGCCCTTTCCACACACATGACCTTTAATGGCCCCCAGTCTTAGTCCGTAGGGTTCAATATGGAGTTGGCCCCGCCCTTTGCAGCTATAACAGCTTCAACTCTTCTGGGAAGGCCCCCCACAAGGTTTAGGAGGGTGTCTATGGGAAGGTTGGACCATTCTTCCAGAAGCACATTTGTCAGGTCAGGCACTGATGTCGGGGGAGGAGGCCTGGCTCGCAGTCTCCGCTCTAATTCATCCCAAAGGTGTTCTATGGGGTTGAGGTCAGGACTCTGTGCAGGACAGTCAAGTTCCTCCACCCCAAACTGGCTCCTCCATGTCTTTATGGACCTTGCTTTGTGCACTGGTGGGCAGTCATGTTGGAACAGGAAGGGGCCATCCCCAAACTCCTCCCACAAAGTTGGGAGCATGAAATTGTCCAAAATGTCGCCTTAAGAGTTCCCTTCACTGGAACTAGGGGGCCAAGCCCAACCCCTAAGGAACAACCCCACACCATAATCCCCCCTCCACCAAACTTTACATTTGGCACAATGCAGTCAGGCAAGTGCCGTTCTCCTGGCCACCACCAAACCCAGACATGTTCATTGGATTGCCAGACAGAGAAGCGTGATTGGTCCCTCCAGAGAACATGTCTCCACTGCTCTAGAGTCCAGTGGCGGCGTGCTTTACACCACGGCATCCGGTGCTTTGCATTGCACTTGGTGATGGAAGGCTTGGATGCAGCTGCTCGGCCATGGAAACCCATTCCATGAAGCTCTCTACGCACTGTTGTTGGGCTCATCTGAAGGCCACACCAAGTTTGGAGGTCTTTAGCTATTGACTCTGCAGACAGTTGGTGACTTCTGCGCACTGTGCGCTTCAGCATGCGCTGACCCCGCCCTGTCATGTGACGTGGCCTACCACTTGGTGGCTGAGTGGCTGTTGTTCCCAGTGGCTTCCACTTTGTTATAATCCCACTAACAGTTGAGCGTGGAATATTTAGTAGCCAGGAAATGTCACGGATGGACTTATTGCCCAGGTGGCCACCTATCACGGGACCACGCTTGGAGTCACTGAGCTCCTGAGAGCGACCCATTCTTTCACCAATGTTTGTAGAAGCCGTCTGCATGTCTAGGGGCTTGATTGTATACACCTGTGTCCATGGAGGGGATTGGAACACCTGAATCACATGATATGGAGGGGATTGGAGCACCTGAATCACATGATATGGAGGGGATTGGAACACCTGAATCACATGATATGGAGGGGATTGGAACACCTGAATCACATGATATGGAGGGGATTGGAACACCTGAATCACATGATTCACATGGGAGGGGATTGGAACACCTGAATCACATGATTGGGAGGGGATTGGAACACCTGAATCACATGATATGGAGGGGATTGGAACACCTGAATCACATGATTGGGAGGGGTGACCCAATACTTTTGGCAATATACTGTATATACATCAATATTTCCCATGTTCCCCACCAGGTGATGG